GACCTGGGTTCGCATCCCAGCACCCACATGGCAGCTAATAACTGTCCATAACTCCAGTTCCAGGGGATCCAATAGCCTCTTCTGACCTCCATGGGCATTGCAAGACATGGGTATACTTACCTACATATAGGAAATACATGCATACACATAAAATAAAAATAAATAAAAATAAATTTTTTAATTAAAAAAAAAGTTGAAAAAACGGGTCTTGGGGCTGGAGAGGTAACTCAGTGGTTAAGAGCACTGACTGCTCTTGCAGAGGACCTGGAGTTTGAGTCCCAGCACCCATTTTTTTTTTAAATGCTCATATTGGGGCTGGAGAGATAACTCAGAATTAAGAGCACTAACTGGTCTTCCAGAGGACTTGGGTTCAGTTCCAAGCACACACTGGTGGCTAACAACCATCCGTAACTCCAGTTCCAGGAGATTCAATGCCCTCTTCTGATCTCCACAGGCACTGTACAACATGGGTGCATGCACATGCACGCAATACATTCATACACATAAAATAAAAAATAAGGAAAAAAGGTCTCTAAGTTATTACTCCTTTTGGACTATGAATCTCCATTTCACCCTTATTGATCTGAGAACTGGTATTCAACTTACTTTGGGGTCAGAAAGTTAAAACCAAAATTGTCAGAAAGTTCATTTCCTTTGTAACTTTGCTCAAGAATATCCGATTTTCTTTTTAATGTTAAAGTTGTACACAACTAATACTGATTTATACCTATGCAGAAATGAAAAACAAAAGAAAAAAAAATTGTAAGTAGGGCATTTGTGTTCAATTGTTAAGCAACTAAATGGAAGTATCTGTGCTAAAAAGGATGATACTTTGTATAACGAATGCCTTAAAATATAACAAAAAAGTGAACTAATGCTCAAAACCTAATTATCAAGGCTGGAGAGATGGGTCCGCAGTTAAAAGCACTGGCTGCTCTTGCAGAGGATATTCAGTTCCCAGCACCCACATGGCAGCTAACAATTATCTATAACTCTATTTCCATGGGATGCAACACCCTCTGACCTCCACAGGCATTGCATGCACATAGTGCATTCACATACATGCAGGCAAAAGACTCATAAAATAAAAATAAATTTAAAACCCTAATTATCAGATGTAGACACTGTCTATGGTCATACCACCCTGAACATGCCTCATAATCAGATGTATACACCACAGTGAAAAATCCACTTGCGCCAGGCATGGTGGAGTACGCCTTTAATCCCAGTGGCAGATCAGGCAGATCAGGCTCAGAGGCAGGCAGATCTCTGAGTTCAAGGCCAGTCTGGTCTACATAGTGAGCTCCAGGACAGCTGGGGCTACAGGGAGACCCTGTCTCAAAAAGACCAAAAAAAAAAAAAAAAATCCACTTGTAAACACTTATATCTTGTTTTATATATGAGCAATTTAAAAAATTATTTTTATTTTATGTGCATGAGTGTTTTGCCTAAATGTATGTAAATGCGCCACGAGTGTGCAATGCCCACAGAGTCCAGAAGGGGATATCAAATCTCCTGGAACTAGAGGTATGGATGGTTGCTAGCCACCAGTGTGTGCTGGGAACTGAACCCAAGTCCTCTGGATGAGCAGCTAGTGCTCTTAATTCTGAGTTATCTCTCCAGCCCCATTATGAGCATTTTTAAAACACCCCCATTACCCTTGTAAATATGATGAAACCATAAGGCATCTGAAAGTTTTCTTAAGCTCCTCCTGCAAAACTTCCTCCCCCCGCAAAAAAAAAAAGAAGAAGAAGAAGGCTTGAGAAATAATTGCCTTATTCTTCCACTTTTCCATTAACTATCTCAATTGGCTGTTGAATTCCAAAGCCACCAAGGTTTCACATCAGACACTCTAAAACAAAGTGCCTGACATCTCCAGTGTGCCAACAATTCCGCATTGAAGAGACAGCATTCATTTGTTAAAAACAAAAAAACCAGGTTTGACAGTCATCATACTTGGCATCTCCAATGGAAAAATGTACTGGCTACAGATCCACTAGATTATTTTGTTTCTGAAAGATTACAGAGTCCAAGAATAACTGTAGGTGATACTCTGTTTTAACAAAATTTTTTCAGTTTTTAACTGTAAAAACTAGTTTATTGGGCTAGACAGATGGCTCAGGGGTTAAGAACATTGACTGTTCTTGCAGAAGACCAGGGTTCAAATCTCAGCACCCACATGTCAGCTAACAACTGTCTGAAACTCCAGTTCCAGGGGATCTGATGGCCTCGTCTGTGTTCTGTGGGCATTGCACGACATGGGTGCACTCACATACATGCAGGCAATATGCTCATACACATAAAATAAAAATAATAAATAAAACTATTTAAAAAAAAACTAGTTTAGTAGTTTGCTATCATATATATTTATTCACATTACTTTTTCCAGATTATAATTTATTATTTTCCCAAAACATACTAGTGTTCTATGATTTTATTTTTATTTATTTAATTTTATCTTTATTTTATAGATAAAGAGTTTTGCCTCCATGTATGTAAATGTACCGTGTGTGTAATGCTGGAAGAGACCAGAAGAGGGTGTCAGATCCCCTGGAACTGACAGTCATTAGCTGCCATGTAGATGCTGGGAACAGAAACCAAGTTCTCTGAGAGAGCAGCCAGAGCTCTTAACCACTGAGCCATCTCTCCAGTCCCTCTAATAATTTTAAGTAATATAAAACAGAACATATTATACCAATTTGGGAAACAAGAAAACTAATGAGTTCCAGACATTTTAATATGATATAACAAATATTTTTCTCCTTAGGCATTACTTTTCACACGCGTGCACGTGCACACGCACACACACATACACACACACACACACACACACACACACAAACTTCACAATTATTTTCTAAACAATTCAGCCATTTAATTATCTACATTTTAGGGCTGGGGATGTAGTTTTAAAGACTGACTCATGCTATCAAGCTTGGTAGCAAGTATCCTTACCTGCTAAGTTATTTCTCTGGCACCTCCACATTATTTTTTGAGACAGGGTCTCTCACTAGACCTAGAGCTCACTGATTCAGCAAGGATGGATGACCAGCAAGTTCCAGGAATTCACCTCTCCCTTTGTAATGCTAGGATTACAGTTGTATGACACCAGATCTGACTTTTTATGTGGGTGCTAGAGATCCAAACTGAGGTCTTCATGACTATGCAGCAAATACTTTACCAACTGAGCCACATTGTTTTTAAAATTACTTAAGTCTGGGGCTGGAGAGATGGCTCAGCGGTGAAGAACACTGGTTGTTCTTGCAGAAGACCCAGGCTCGAATCCCAGCAACCACATGGCAGCTAACAAGTGTCTCCATTCCAGGGGATCCAACAGCCTCTTCTGTCCTCCAGGGGCATTGCATGACACAGGTGCACTTACCTATATGCAGGCAATACACGCATACACATAAAATTTAAAAAAATAATAAAATATTTTAAAAATTACTTAAGTCTGTTCCAGAAGAAACAAAACTCTTAGTTAAGTCATAGAGAATACGTGAAATATTTAAGGCTTATTTACAATTTCCAAAAGCCTTACGTGAATACTTTTTCAAGAACACTCAAACTATAAACTGGGCATAGTAGTACAGAGCTGTAATCCTAACACTCAGCAAACTGAAGCAGGAAAATCAAGAGTATCTCATGAAAGAACGACAACAAAAAAACAAAAGATAAACAACAAACTCAAAGTACAGAATAAAATAGAATTCAAGAGAGGTCAGGAGGGCCCAGAAAATAGTATCAGAAACTCAGTAGGGAAGAAGGAAAGGTATCTATGGGGGATAGTAGGAGACCCAGCAAGGAGTTTCAGAGCCTAAACAGGATGAGGAAAGCATAACTGGAGAGGAAGAAAAGGGTGGTACAGAGACCAAGTAACATGTGGCAAGGTCTGTGAAAGAGAACTCTGTGCACACGCGTTTGTGTGTGAGTGTGTGTGTGTGTGTGTGTGTGTGTGTGTGTGTGTGTGTGTTGTAAAAGCCAACAGAATGAAGAATGAATCTGTGCAGATGGCTCAACTTGGGATGTTGAAGTCCAATAAAATGGGAATGAAAAAAGAATCCATGCATGACACAGAAGAGGGTAGTCCAGTTTATGAGGCTGGAAACCTAGTACATGTGTAGATAGCCCAGCTCAGGTGAAAGCCTAAGCAGAATAAGAAGGGTATATGTGGGGAACAGTGGGGAAATCCCAGCATGAATACCAGAGAGAGGAGAGCAAGGAGGGTTATCTATGTGGGAGGCACTCTACATACAGTGCAGGACCTAAGGAGTAATGAGGGTACCCACATAAAAGGCTGATGAAGGCTGGGTATCAGAGCTTACACTGCAGATGAAGAACACACCCATGTGAGTAGTAGGACATAGTGTGTAAAGTTGTAATTCAAGCAAGTACAGGGACTTGGTGTTCATCCAAGGCTGTAGAGAGTAAGCAGGATGAGAAGGGCATTGATGTAGGAAGCCTGGCTCATGTGGGAATACCAGAGACCAAGCAAAACAAAGAAGACATTTCATTTATTTATTTATGTATATTAGCATATTGCCTGCATGTATGTAAGTGCACCCATGTCATGCAATGCCCATGGAGGTCAGAAGAGAGCACCAGATTCTCAGGAACTGGAGTTATAGATGGTTGTTAGCCACCATGTGGGTGCTGGGAACCAAATCCTGGTCCTCTACAAGGGCAACCAGTGCTCTAACCACTAACCACTAAGTCAGCCCCCCAGCTCCAAAGAAGGCATTTTCACAGATGTACAACTTGGTTTTAGCATGGCATGTTGGTGTTCAAATGGAGTTAAGGAAGATGTCTACAGAAGTCAAGGGAGCAGAAGTGAAGAGCTGTTTTAAGCAGAGTATCAGAACTTTAGTAATGTGAAGACAGGAGGCAAGGTGCTTATTAGGGCTGTCCAAAGTGAAGAAGAACAAAAGTAAGGTAGAAAGTATCCACAGGCAAGCAAGAAGAGAGCTCTGAGTTTTTGTTTGTTTGCTTTTTTTCTCCCCAGTTGTGACTGCAGACAGGATCCAAAGAGGAGGTGTACAGTCTCTTCTCTGGGTTTTATGGAGAGCTCCTTTACCCTTCTGTGTTGGCCTCTTAAAGTACTGTGTCAACCTTAAAAGGGCACAGGAAAGGGCAGAGCTCTGAGTTTTAAGAGGTTATAATAGGCACAATGTTCAGAGTTAGGTAATTAATGTGTCAGAAAGGGAAAGACAGTAGCAGTATGAGATTAGTAACACAGAGATTGATCAAGTAAGCAAACTATTTAAAATCAAAGAGGGCCAGCATAGGCTACACAGTGAGAAGGCCAGGCTCAAAAACAAAGTAAATGAATGTATCAAAGGAAATAAATTTAGCAGGGTAAGGAAGAAGAAACAAGCAGATCTCTGCAAGTTCAAGGCCTGCTTGGTCTACATAGTGAGTTCCAGACCAGCCAGGGCTACATAATGAGACTCTGTCTCACAAAAACAAAACAAAATGAACCAAGATAGCCTGTTCTTGAGGACTGAAACAGGAGGCTGACCTCTTTCCTCCACATGCACCCCTACCACACACAGAGGCATGCACACTCCCACCCAAATAAACAATTATGTCAATTATGTACACATACAGCATCTGTGCATACGGGGGCACACACACACACACACACACACACACACACACAATAACCTACATTGCTCTTTCTTTTGTCACAATTTCTGTTTAAAAAAATCAAATACAATAAAACCAAATACTTTGGTGGAGAAAAATGTCAGGGTCTTGGTTTAAAAACAACAAAAATGTAGGACTGGAGAGATGGCTTAGAAGTTAAGTGTGCTTGCTGCTCTTGCAGATAACTTAAGGTTCAAATCCTAACCCACATGGCAGCTCACAACTACCTATAACTCCATTTCCAGGGGAGCTGACACCTTCTTCTGACCTACACGGCACTGAACATATGTAGTATACACACATGCGCGCACACACAAAAAAACACATAAAAAACATTCATGGGATGCTGGGCGTGGTGGCGCACACCTGTAGTCCCAGCACTTGGGAGGTAGAGGCAGGCAGATCTCTGTGAGTTCAAGGCCAGCCTGGTCTACATAGTGAGTTCCAAAATAGCTGGGGCTACAGGGAGACCATGTCTCAAAAAAAAAAACACTCATGGGGCTCAGCGACTAAAAGCACTGGCTGCTCTTCCAAAAGTCCTGCTACTTGGCTTCTGTCCACAACACTCCATTCAAATTGCTGCTACCAATAAACCCCTAATTAACTGACTCAGTCTCTCCTGATATGCTGACCACTGCTGCTCTCAGGAAGCTACTCTCTCCACTATCTTGTTTCTTTTCTTCCTTCACTGGATTCTCTTACATCCACCCCTCTCTTCATGCCCAATCACTATTTTGATGAGAAACGAATTCTCTACCTTCTTTCTCACTCTTTTCTCCTAGATGCAGAATTCCAGCACTTTGGTTCCACTCCCCTGAACTAATAATCTCACCTGGTCTGACTCGATTGTCTCCTCATTCCTCTTTGTTACAGTTTATTATCTGCACTGTAATCCAAACAATCTATTCAATACCTACTTCAGATGAAATCGCTCCTCAGCTTCCATCACAGCATAAAATTCTTTAATATCTATCCTTCTAACATTACTGCCTACAATTCTTCTTACCCACTCTGCTCCAGCAACACTCCTCCCTATTTCTTCAATTTTTACCCTGGTACCTACCCAGCCTGAACACCTCTATACTTCTTCAGCTAGAAAATTATTTCTCTAGATATTCCCATTGCTTACTCACTCTTTCCTTTTAGGTCTCTGTACTTCAAACGAAGCATCACTTAAAGTATTCTGACCACTCTATTTTTTAAAAATCATCCTAGTGCTTTCTTTTCTTTCTTAATCTGCTTTACCATTTTGGTTCCTTGAATTCTTTGAGATAGGACATAGAATATAAAGTTGACCCTTTCTAAAGTGTATGATAGAGTACATTTTATATAACCACAAAGTTGTGCAGCTTTTGTCACTACCTAATTCCAGAACATTTTCATGATCCCAAAAGAAACCCTCCACACCCATTAGAGGTTATCCTCCATAGCCAAACATTCCAAGTCCCTGGCAACCAATAATTGTCATTGTTTCTAGGGATTTACCTATTTTCACCCCTGACATTTTATAATTATTTGTTTATTATCTGTTTCCAAACACCAGAATATAAACCAGTGTGGAAAAGGCTTGATTTTCTTTGCTTCTATAGTCTCAATATCCCACAAATATCTCAATTTCAACATGCCCCAAACTGAACTCATTGTCTTTTGCTGTTTTATTTTTAGCACGAACAATTATTTTAAAGTAGCACTTTTGAAACTGTAGAAATTGTACACCCATCTGCTCTATCAAAATGGATCTGTGGGTAAAGGCACCTGCTGCCAAGCCTGACAACCGGAGTTCAATCCCCAGAACCCACATAGTAGGAGAGAATTGAACCCTACAAGTTGTCCTCTGACCCCAATAGGTTCTTACCCACCACAAAATAAATGAATAAAACATAATTAAAAAAATTTTTAGTTCAGCCTAAATTTGGGGCTTCGCACATGCTAGGCAAGTTTCAACACTGTATATACAGATACTCGGTAAGTAATCTTGGCTGAAGTTAGATTTTTTTCAAAAAATATACTAAAGGGGCTGGAGAGATGGCTTAGCAGTTAAGAGCACTGACTGCTCTTTCAGAGGACCTGGGTTTGATTCCCAGCACCCACATGGCGGCTACAAACCCTCCTTAATTCCAGTTCCAGGGAATCGGAAGCCCTCTTCTGACCTCTGTGGGCATTGTACGACACGGGTGCACTCACATACATGCAGGCTATACACTCATTCACATAAAATAAAAATAATGTTTAAAAAATATATATTAAAGCAGGACACTTTTCTTTTTTTTTTTTGAAACATCTGTGTAGCCCTGGCTGATCTGGAACTCACTATGTAGATATGTAGACTAGTGCTGGTATTAAAGATGTGCACCATCATGCCCAGCTAAAGCTTTAAAAAAAAATTACTCAAATATACTTAAAGAAATATTTTATTATTAGGGTGTGCTTGGTGGCACATGCCTTTAGTCCCAGCACTTGGGATCGAGGCCAGCGTGGTCTACATAGTGAGTTCCAGGCCAGCTGGACCTACAGGAAGACCCTGTCTCAAAAAAGACCAAAAAAATATATTTTATTATTTGTGTGTGTGTAAATCTGTGCATATGTGTGCAGGTGCCCTTAGAGGCCAAAAGAGAACACCAGATACCTAGAGCTGGAGTTACAAGTGGTTGTGAGCTGCCCCAAATGGATGTTAGGAACCAAACTCCAGCCCTCTGAAAGAGCTTTTTTTTTTAATTATTGGTCTCGATGTATGTAGGTGCACCCATGTGTGCAATGCCCAAGGAAGCCAGAAGAGGGCACTGGATCCCCGGGAACTGGAGTTACATATGGCTGTTAGCTGCCATGTGGGTGCTGGAAACCAAACTGGGGTCTTCTGCAAGAGCAATCAGTGCTCTTAACTACTAAGCCATCTCTCCATCCCCTAAGACACTTTTTATTAAAAAGCAAAAATAAATCTGACTCATCTATTAACACCAGATTGAGTAAGTCTCTTTACCATCTATCCTGGATTTATAAGATGGAGGTGATAACTATAGCTCCCAGATATTAAAATGATTAAATGAAATAGCAAGTCAAAGTGCTCTATAAACTACATGCAAAGTATGATATAGTAATAGCGAAAATTACCTACTTTCTTTCTCTCCTATTATCTAAACTCCAGCTTTTAAAAATTTATTTAGGGGCTGGAGAAATGGCTCAGCGGTTAAGAACACTGGCTGTTCTTACAGAAGACCCGGGCTCGAATCCCAGCACCCACATGGCAACTAACAACTGTCCGTAACTCCAGTTCCAGGGGCTCGGACAGCCTCTTCTGACCTCCTCGGGCATTGCAGCATAACACGGGTGCACTTACCTACATGCAGGCAATACACACACACACATAAAATAAAAATAATAAAAATTTTTTTTAATTTATTTATTCTGTGTAGTATGTATGCCTGCAAGAGTTTATGAGCCCATAGGAGCCAGAGGGCATCAGATCCCTGGAACTGGAGTTACAGGTGGTTGTGAGTCAGAACAGCCGGGAACAGAACCCAGGTCCTCTGCAAGATTAGTAAGTGCTGTTAACCACTGAGCCATCTCTCTAGTCCCTAAATCCCAAACTCCTTTTTTCTCCAATATTTTATTTTATATATGTGTATGAGTGTGTTGCCTGCATGTGTGTAAGTGCACCTGTGTTGTGCAATGTCTGAGGAGGTCAGAAGAGGCTTTGGATTCCCCTGGAACTGGAGTTATATATAGTTGTTAGCCACCACCTGGGTGCTGGGAATCGGACCCAGGTCCTCTGCAAGAGTAGCCAGGGCTCTTAATCACTGAGCCCCAAATCCCAGGTTCTTAAACATGGGTTGTATAACTGAACCAGAAGGTTAAGAAATATTTGACAATGCCAGGTATGGTAGTCATACCTGTAATTCCAGCATTTGGAAGGCAGAGGCAGGAGGACTGCCACAAGTTCAGTACAACCTGGTCTACATTGTGAGTTCCAGACACCCAGAGCTAAATAACAAGACCTATCTTGGGGCTAGAGAGGTGGCTCTGTAATTAAGAGCATTGTTGCTCTTGCAGAAGACCTGGGTTCAGTTCCCAGCACCCACATGGTGGCTAACAACCATCTAGAGCTCCAGTTCCAGGGTATGCAATGCCCTCTTCTTACCTCTGTGGGCACTGTATGCATATGGTATACATACATATGTGTAGGCAAATCTTCTTACACATAAAAATAAATAATTCTTGGGGCTGGAGAGATAGCTCAGGGGTTAAGAGCACTAGCTGTTGTTCTGGTCCCAACACCCACATGGTAGCTAACTATTGTCCATAACTACACCCTCTTCTGGTCTCTATGGGCATTGCATGACACAGGCATTGCATGACACACTTATAAACATTCCAGCAAAAAACACTCATATACATAAAAGGGAGGGAAAAAAAATTCATTTTTTTTTTTTTTTAAAGACTAACTCAGGCCGGGCATGGTGGTGCACATCTTTAATCCCA